GCTATTCCCTTCCCGAATGGTGACCATCGCCTTTATATGACGATCACCTTCATCAGCTTCGACGTTCTCAGATCACGAATGGCCTCCCGGCCTCAGCGTGATCCTATATCTCAAGACTGGTTTTTCCAGCGCCGAACACCTTGAGCTAGCGATTGGGCTCGCCATTACCTTCCTGGATGATGATCATCGCCTTTATATGATGATCGGCTTCATCAGCGCCGACGTCCTCAGATCATGAACGCCCCCCGGCCTCGGCGTGATCCTATATGTCAAGACCGGCTTCCACAGCGCCGAGAGTCTGAGCTAACAACTGGGCTCGCCATTCCCTTCCTGGATAGCGACCGTCGCCTTCATATGACGCATGGCTCATCAACATCGTCATCCTCTTGTTCAGACGGGCGTCCACCACCTCGTCCTCATATTCGGACCGGCTCATCAACGCCGTTGTCCTTATATTCAGACAGGCATCCACCACCTCGTCCTCATTATCAGACAGGCGTCCACCGCCTCGGCCTCATATCCGGACTGGCTCATCAGCACCGTCGCCCTCTTCATCAGACGGGTGTCCCCTCAGCAGACGGACACCGCTGCAGCTCAACACCCATGCCGAAGGGTTCACCCCTTGGAGTTCATTTTGGGGGCATCTGGTGTGCTCTTTTTCCTACATCCGGATTTTTTCCCATAGGGTTTTCCTAATGAGGTTTTTAACGAGGCATCTCCCCATTGTGGATCAAAAGGTGTCGACCCTCACCCCCTATTCGAGACCTGCATTACTCTACTCCTTTTCACCTCATTACATGTGCCTCAAGGAGTGGGGGACCGGGGGACTATATCGGCCTCCATGGGCTCCAAGGAGATCCCAAGATAAACAAATTCAAAAACGACAAAGAACCACAAGCCATGGACGTCGTCAACCATATGATCCACCGTCGGCCAGAATGACAAGGTCACCACAGAAGCCCACCTTCGACCAAAGTCAAAAGCACAAAGACATGACATTCATCGTCCTCAAAAACAATGGATGTGCAACGTCCACTGGGTAAGGACCTCCTTCGTCCAAATCAACACGCCAAGTCAGGAGATGCATCGTCCTCAAAACAAAAGACACGCATCATCCTCGACACAAACGTACAAAGAACAGGTCACACTCATCGTCCTCAAAGCAGAAGGGCACACATCGTCTACGGCATGGAAACATCAAGGTAGGACGTTCATCGTCCACAAAACCAAGGGCACACAACGTCCTCTTGTCTAGGACCCCCATCGTCCTCAAAGCCAAAGACACCAAACTACGAATGATTTCGCTTCGGCCTGGAGTGCCAAAAGCAATTGTGATGCCTCCTCGGCCAGAAGCACACATGGCGACCCACGACGGCTCAATCATTTACCGCCTCGGCCTCAAATGAATCATAATATATGAAAAAAACATTTATACACATATATACACTCCGTGTTTACAACCATATCTAATTTCCCAAAATGGTGGAAAGTACACCATTTACCAAAAAATATTTAACTTTCTAAAGAGTCAAATATTTACTAATTAAAACATCTCTTACTATGTACATGTGTACATCTCTAACAAGCAATAGTACTCAAACTAAATGTGAATGCCACTGGGAGTGCTTTTATTAGAGATGATATCATATATGCTTAGATGATCTGATGGTGAGAAAATTGAAATAAAGTAGTGCCATGACTTTTTCTACTTTGATTTCTATTTTCAATATCCATAAACTTTGTAATTTCTCTACACAACGAAGGCACACCATAAATCATGTTATTTGTATGTGAAGAATACAACTCATGCAAGGCATGGGTGCTATGCGATAACAATGAATAAGAGTCAGAGGAAGCAGGGGCGGAGCCAGACTTCACTCTAAGGGGGGCGAGATTTAGTACAAGTATTAAAGAGTAAAAGAAAATTTGCAATTTTGATCCAATAAATTTACTTTGTTCCCATTTTTAGTCTTGATACTTCAATTGCTCGTAAATTTGGTTATGTAATTAACAATTTTTTGCAACTTAAGTAGTTTTCCAAAGGAAACTACACTTTCCTATCGATAATTCAACGCAAAATATGCCGTCAATGTCGTTTTTTTTTGCCAGAAAGTGTACTTTCCGGTGCAAAAATCCTTAAAACTGCAAAGACCTACTCCGTAATCCATATGAGTTAGATAACCTAACCAGCATGCAGGTAAAGTTACAGTACTAATAATGAGAACACTAAAAAATTACAAGACTAAAATTACAAATCTCTCAAATATGAAATTTAAAATATAAAACTCAAAATATAAAATTTAAAATAAAAAGAATTATGTCAATTTGGCTTGGTACTAAATCGCCTTCATAAATTTTGGGGAAGGGCCAAAACAATTTTTAGGAGTAGTATTTAAAAAAAAATAAAAAAGTGGGAGGGGCCATGGCCCCCTTAATAATATACCTACGTCCGCCCCGACGTCCAATTTTTAAATATGGGCAGTTATATGTTGAAGTTTCAAATGTGACCACTGACGAGTCTACCCTGACCTTGACACTACTACAAAAATGCCTTACAGTGACATCAAATTAGTGTCACTAACAGGCTTCTGTGACACTAAAAATAGTATGATCCGTAATTGCATTTATAGGTTAACATTTATAATTTATAATATTTGTATTTCACATTTCGTGCATGCAACGCATGTGTGAAATACCAGGGATTTATAATTTTATACTCCCTCCGTCCCATTAAAATCTTTACACTTTCCTTTTTGGGACATCTCATTTATTCATTTACGTTTCCTTTTTAGACAACTCCTTTTTCATTAAATGTCCTAACTACCCTTCACTACTCAGCCATTTTTTTACATTTGGGTGGATATCATTAATTCCCCCCAAAAGTCAAAGGGCATGCAAGACATTTGTGCTTCTATTAATTGAGCTCCTAAAGTACCGTGCCAAAAGTAAATGTCAAATTCTATCCCAGACGGAGGAAGTATTAGATTGGAAACTCCGTACTTCAGTAACTGGAGGCACTACATTCAGCATTTCGAAGTTCACTACTCTTTGTTTCCTGAAACTCAAGCAAAAGCAATGCAAGGAACATCATGCCAAACACACCCTTCTCGATGGGCAAGGATCCACTTGATCAGTAAGATTTTCCAAAATCTACCCATGGCCATACATAGGGGTGGACAAACGGGTAGTGGAACCGCGGGTCGGGTCGGGTAATACAGGTTCGGGACGGGTTAGGGTCAGGTCCTAATTTTAGAAAACTCAAAGGGTTCGGGGCGGGGCAGATCTTGAAAAACTTAGGAACCGGACGGGTCCTAAAATTTGAAATTGGTACCCGGACCGAACCGTTTTAAAATATTAGTTTAATAATCTCTAGTATATTCAATATTAGTATAATATAATATACTAACAAGACACAAAAGTTGTTCATGTTCTTGTGTCGAGAAAAAAACTTTCAATTAAAGAAACTTTTTACTCTACTAAAAATAATTTCCAAGTCCGTATAATTAAACTCCTAAATTATTTTTCTCTATTCTCTATTCCTAAAAATATTTGTCTTTAATATTTTTTGTAAACAAAGACTCTTACTCAATGAAGTGTGACATATTCATTTAATTATCTTAATTTTACTTATACTTGGAGTTTTAATAACCTTTAAATTATTTTCATATACAAATATGTATAGTAACTAGTTTAATTTCGTATGAATTTATGGTGCTATCTTTTTAATTAGTTTATGAATGATGATTAACATTTTGATTAAGGTAGTTGTGTGTTGTTTAATTTATAGATCGTGGTTCGATATTTTGTTAACTAATTTAAAATTTTGTCTTATACTTATATTTTTAATTTTTATTATATTTTGGTTACATTAATAGGTAATTAATTTGAGAATTTTATAACTTACTAGAAACTTTGCTTGCACAGCCGTATTTTTTTACAAAAGAAGAACCAAGGACTCGAACCGAACCGGCTCGTTTCAAATGGGGCGGGTAAAGTTCGATTCCTATTTCAAAATTTGGTATACCCGGACCGAACCTAGCTACCCGTTAAATGGAACCGATGGTTCTTGAAAATTTATCAATTACCCGGTCCGACCCCGCGACCCGGACCGTGCCCACCCCTACATATGAGCATTTCTTAGGCTCTTCTCGACCATTATTACACAGGTTTGTGTACTGAAAGATGAATGAAAAAGCTCGCATTCACTCACGATGAATAATAGATCGAAATCAAGAGAGGAAGTGAAGATGAAAAACGAGAATATTCCAAAAAACGGACGAAAAAATTGGAAACATATAAACAAAGTAGTGGATTAGCAAATCTCGAAAAGACTTTTTTTTATAATAAAGCAATAGCAATGCATCATAATGTTACTGTCTTTATTTAATGTATAGAACTCGTGAGCTTTGATTCTTCTCAATACATCGAGAAGATGCGTAGGCAACTTAGAAAGTTACACTAAGTCGAAGCTCAAATTTATTAAAAATAAATAAGTTACAAAATTATTATGACATCTTTAATGTTTTTATATCACAGTGTATGTCTTTAATTCACGTAGTATTGTTATTATATCTTAATGTTTTAATTAAATATCAAATATGTATAAATAACCCAAAAAAATTTAATAAAAAATCGCTGAACCGGACCGAACCGGAACCGGAACCGGCGGTTTTGAAGCGCCTAGAACCGGCCCTTAAAGGTTCCGGTTCAGGTTTCGGAATTTTACGAACCGTGAACCGCCGGTTCGATTCCGAACCGGGGACAGGTCCAATACGGAGTATACAATAACTTCATGAAGCAAGATATGTAAGTGAAGAACCGTTCTTTTCTTAATCTAACCCTTTTCGTGGCTCAATACTCTTGAACAGTTGAAAGGAATTATGAACTAACGTAAGAGAAAGGGAGTTTTGAGTCCACGAGGATCCTCTCACATCTGATGATTTCATATGGAACAAAGAATTCATGGGCCATATAAAGAAGTTCATTCAAGACCCTTCTGAAAAATGGTTGTAATGCTCCTCCTATTGGTTCAAAGGAAGATACATCTGGATTTCTAAGCATAAATCTTGTTTTGAACCTTGACAGCTTGGAAGTGGACTTGAGCAAGGAGCTGCTAACATCACCTTCAAAATCATTGCTAGGAGAAAAAGCTCAGGAAACTCAAGATTTGCAGAATGGCAATCACACGTACCACAGATGGAGACCAACGCCAACAAGTCATGAGCAAGTGAAGTGGGGCAAAGCTACTAAGGCAGCAACAGGCGGCAGTGATGTGATGCTCAGAGAATTGAGGCGTCCAAATGGGGACCCCAAAGTAATGGCCGCTCAGTCTATTGAGGAGTATCTCAAGTTGAAAAACAAGCTGCAGCTGCTCACCCTAGGCATTGGCAGCATATGTATCTTGTTCTCCTGAAATTGCAGCAAGCTATGGTGTCGGCTTGCTTGGTTCATTGGCATACATGCGCATGCTAGGGAACAGTTGTAGGCTGTACTAATGGATCAAACGTGAGAGAATGATTAATCAGTTTAGATTATGTATGAACGTGTGGAATCAAGCAGAACAGGATGTACTTTAAACTCTTTCATTCAAGGGGAAAAATCCAGTACATTCGGATACAAAAAACCCCTTCAAAACCAAAATAAATAGGGAAGAAGATAGCAGAAAACTACCCACGAACTAGACTCCTAGAAAGACTCCTACATGTGTGAATGTTAGTTTTGACACTTTCACCACTTCATGCACACGTACAAACTTATTTGGATAAGTGTAAAACATAACTCTAAGACTTAAACAAATGTAACATGAAATAAAATGTAACATAGAACAAGTTTAAAACATAACATTCTCCCCCTTAAACTTGTTGTGCCCCTTTCATGTGCTGCACTCCAATCTTACTCCTTAGCTCTGCAAATCTGTTTCTTCCGAGTGGTTTTGTAAGGATGTGAGCTAGCTGTTCCTCCGTTTGTGTATACTCCAGGCTAATCAGTCCTTTTTCAACACACTCCCGGATGAAATGATACCTAGTATCAATGTGCTTGCTTCTCTCATGATGAACATGATTCTTTGCCAAAGCTATAGCTGATTTATTGTCCACTCTCAACATAGGTTTAATATTAACACCTTCCAGTATGCTTTATACTAACCTTGTGAGCCAGATTCCCTGACATGCTCCACCTGTTGTTGCAATGTATTCTGCCTCACAAGATGATAATGCAACAATCTTTTGCTTCTGAGATACCCCCATGTGACAGGGCTGTCATTCAGGAAAAACAAGAGACCTGCGGTGCTTTTTCTGTCATCTATATCCCCAGTCAAATCACTGTCACTGTAACCAATCAGCCCTTCATCAGTTTGTATCCTTTTGTACACACGTCCATAGTCTACTGTCCCCTTTTCATATCTAAGAATTTGTTTCACTGCGTTCAGATGTGTGGTTGTGGGTGCTTCCATGTACCTGCTCACAATTCCTACTGAATAAGTAAGATCAGGTCTGGTGTGAGTCAAATACCTCAAACTGTCAATGATGCTTCTGTACTTTGTTTCATCTACAACTGGCTCCCCATCAAACTTGCTAAGCTTGTTTCTAGGTTCCATAGGAAGACAACAAGGATTGCATTCTGTCATTTTCATCTTTTCTAGGATCTTCTTGGCATAGCCTGTTTGACTCAGTGTTATTGTGTCTTTACTCTGCTTGACTTCAATTCCAAAGTAGTAGCACAGAAGACCTAAGTCACTCATTTCAAAATTCTTCATTAATCAGCTTTGAACTCATGAATCAAACTTGGAGAAGAGCCTGTGAGAATTAGGTCATCTACATAGACTCCTACCACTGTGATGTGTCTTTCTGACCTTCTTATGTAGACAGAGTGCTCAAAAATGCATCTCTGAAAGCCTAAAGGTTTCAGGCATTTGTCTAGTTTTTCGTTCCAAGCTCTAGGAGCTTGCTTTAACCCATACAAGACCTTATGCAACTTAAGCACCTTGTTAGGATATTTTGTGTCTTCAAAACCCTCTGGCTGAAACACATATACTTCTTCCCTTAACTGCTCATTAAGGAAAGCAATTTTCACATCCATGTGATGAACATCCCATTGCTTATGAGCTGCAATTGCCAATAGTACTCTTACTGTCTCTATCCTTGCCACTGGAGCAAAAACCTCCTGATAATCAACCCCATACTTTTGAATATAACCTTTAGCTACTAACCTGGCTTTGTGCTTGATGATCCTTCCTTCCGGGTCCTTTTTAAGTTTGAAAACCCACTTCAGTCCTATTGCCTTGTGATTCTTGGGCAAATCTGCCAGTTCCCAGGTTCCATTCTTTTGTATGGATTCTATCTCTGTGGTCATAGCTTCTCTCCAGTTTGAGTTTCCTGCAGCTTCTGAGTAGCATGAGGGTTCTTCCAAAGATAGAAAACATAGACCTACCTCTTCATCCACCTCCCTTGTTGTATCATAAATGTCTTGCAACAGTCTGAACCTTTGGTGATTGGGATTTGAATCCGAGTTCTCTGATGATCTTGGTGTACTATAAGGTGATTCTAAAGGTGATTGGGTCAATGATGAATTTGATCCCCCACAAATGATCTGGTTGAGAAACCAGTTTCATTTCCTGCATCATTCACTCTGAGAGTGAAACTATTTCCCTCTCTTGATACACTATCTTCTTCCTTTTGTTGCCAAGACCATCCTTTATCTTCTTCAAACACCACATCCCTACTCACTATCACAGTTTCTTTCTTAAGGTCTAACAGCTTGTAGGCTTTAGATCCTTCTTCATACCCAAAAAGCACAGTCTTCACACTTCTATCAGCCAGCTTGTTTTGATGAGGGGTCACAATTTTTGCATGACCTAGACATCCAAAGACTCTCAGATGATTAACATTTGGAATCCTTCCATACCACATCTGATAAGGTGTTCCACCCTCTACGCTTTTGGTTGGAGCTCTGTTCAACAAATATACTGAGTTCCTAACAGCTTCTCCCCAGTATTTTGCAGGCATGTTCTTGCTTTTCAGTAAACTTCTGACCATCTCCATGATGGTTTGATTCCTCCTTTCCACCACTCCATTTTGCTGGGGTGAGTATGGAGCTGTGAGATGCCTTTTTATGCCCTCATTGTCACAGAAAACTTTAAAGACTGTAGAGTTGAACTCACCCCCTCTGTCAGTCCTGAAACATTTCAGTTTCTCTCTTGCTTCATTTTCAGCAAGATGCTTGAACCTTTTGAATGCATCTAAGGCCTTCCCCTTTTGTTTTAGTAATGTGATAAGTACATATTACAACACACATTTGATGTGTGTTGGGGTTGCATTTTGATAGTTTTCCTAGCTTTAAGATGTTGCAAGTCTCAATTTTAGCTCAAGTTTTGTTTACCGGGCGTTGGTTCGAGTTTTGTGTCATTTGGAGTTAAAATCAGGATTTTAGACACCAACACTGGCGCTTGAGAAGCAATCGGGACGAGTTGAGAAACATTAGAGATTGATTTGAGAGCTTTGGAGGTCACCGGGAGGTTTACGATGAAGAGTTGAAGACAAAAGAGCTCTAGGATTGGCTACGGGATCAAAAGAAGACAAATAGAGCTTGAAAATGACGATCAGGATGACCTTCTGTTAATCATTCAAGCATATCTCCTTGTAGAGACATCCAATGTACACGTTTCAAGTTTCATATGAAAGCCAACTTCAAGGGTTACAAATCATGCGAAGACACCTTTACTAGAATAGGATAGGAAGAATGTGAAAACAGACAACGAAGTCAGATGATCCCAGTTGCGATTTCAAAATGAGACATTCCACCATTTTATTCATATCTCTTGATTGGATGATTCAAATCCAATCCGGAAAATTGGGGTGGATAGAGGACTTCATTATCTACAACTTTCGTGAAGGAAGTAAAGTCAAATTCGGACGTTTTACCCAAGCCGTGCGTGCCCCTTTTTTGTTTCCTAATTTAAGTGCGAATTTCCTTGTTTCCTAATTCAACCCGAATTGCTTTGTTTCCTATAAATAACACCTCTCTAACCCTAATTAAAGGAGAGCTTAGAGAGAGGCCTAGGGATGAAATTTCTTCTACTTTACCATCTTGTTCTTCAATTCCCTTGGATTATTTATAAGTTCCTACTTTTTAATTAATGACAATTAATTCTATTCTTCCCAATTCTATTGATTCTTCAATTACGAACAGGGAGTAGTTTTAATTAGGGATTTGAGGTTGATGAAGAGGTTAATCATGATGTATGGCTAGATTCTTGATGGTTTAATTGCATGAATGTCGTTTAATTTGTGTTTGAACAATTTAATTGCTATCTTTTGTAACCTAGAATGGCCACTAGAATTACAATTGCACATAGAATAAATTAAGAGAGATCTAATTTGTTCTAGGACACATTCACACACACTTAATCGTTCGCTAAGAGATTAGTAGCGATTAAGGGGCCGTAAGCTTGCTCGTCTTGGCAATAATTTAGGATCCTGTCGCATGAGAGATCTGCCTGGTCCCCTAAATTATTGTACTCTACGCCGCGAGAGCGGTAAGAACTTAGTATTGATTAGCTAGGCTCAATTAAATTAAATTCATGTAATTAGGCCTGATCTGCCAGAAATCTAATTACCCTAGAATCAATCCCTATTCCCTTCGTCATTAATTAGAAAGAACCCATTAGTTTAATTTCTTTAGTCGCAATTTAATTCAACCAATCCATCTTGCACGACGCATTTATTTTACTTTATTTCTTTTTAATCGCTGAATTTAGTTAATCTTTAATTCCCTTTTGTCCGTCCCTGTGGAAACGATACTCGTACTTTCACCACTATTCTACAATCTTTTTAAGTGCGAGAAAACTCACATCAGTTTTTGGCGCCGTTGCCGGGGACGGTGTCGGTTTTAAGGGTTAATTAATTTCAGCGAGATTTTCTTTAGTTAGATTTTTTTTAGTTTCTCGTAGGATATTTCTGTGCTAACCTTTCAGGTTTTTTTTCTAAGAGGCATGAGATGAACCCATTAAGCTCAACTCCTGGAGGAACACCATTCCCTCAAACCTCCACGGGATATTCCTCATATACGCCATGCCCAACTTACATTCCTCTACAATATTACTCTCTGGCACCACAAAATATTCCATCTTCCTATTCTTACTCTCCAACCACACAACCCTTCCAATCTCAAAATTCTCATCATTATCTATCATCACCACGATTCCCTTGGACAAAACAAGGCTCCATTCTTGAATTTATTCTCCAAACTAAAACTCTTGAGGAAGTGTATCATATTCTACCGAAGAATAGCATTTGTTCCTTTTGTGGAGGATGTCATCATATAACCTTTTGCCCCGTCAAACCTCCAAATGATCATCCTTACTGGGCAACTGCATACCCAACTTCTTCCTCCCCACAATTTACGAACACAAATGTTTCAGTCACTCCTACGTCTTTGCCGAGCTATGAGCCACAGGATGAATCAGAAGAGATAATTTCAGAGA